AAAAAAAAATCAAACCAGAGTTGCATTGGAAATAATGTTGAGGACACATATTTTTAGGGGTGACTATTGACGTATTTGTTTTAGCACTAGTGGGAGTGTAAGTTCCGCATTGCTCTTCATCTGAACCATCCTCACAATCCATTACATTATCACATTTCCACCAATAAGGAATACATTTTCCATTGCTACATCGGAATAACCATTCACTACATGTACCCTAGACGACAATTCAAAAAAATAAATAACAATAACTTAATAACATAAAAGAAAGWAGGTWCTTAGTTAAAATATTGTTACTAACATTGGTGATAAATGGTAAAGATGGAGTAGTTGGTTCAGCAGGAATAGGTCTGGTTGTAGATGAACAATTAACCTCATCACTTTTAAGTCCATCATTACAGTCATCATCTCCATCACATCTCCAAGATGCAAATATACATTTCTTGTTGGCACACTTTAATATAGTTGATTGAAATGTTAAAAATTAAAATTAATTAAATGTATATAATATTTGTGAGAAGTACAAACCTCAAATTGCCAAGATTCACAATTTGCAATTCCACAATTTATTTCATCTTTACCTTCAGGGCAATCTTTTTCACCATCACATTGCCATTTGATTGGAATGCAAGTATTCGCAGTACCAGGACAAAGAAAACTATTTGCTACAATACAAGAAAATATATTTAGTAAGTTAATATTTGGTATTGGTTAATTATAATTAGTCAGAATTTTTATATATTTGAGAGAATCCAATTTAATGGGAATATCAAAAAAGTTTATAGTGTATATTTGATGCATATTTAAAGATTAAAAGTTATAATAAATTTGTTTTTGTTTATATGATTAAAAAAATTTGAAACAAAAAAGAATAAATTGACTTTAAATAAATTCAAGAATTATAAATTTAAACATTCAGATAAATTATAATGGAAAGATGTATTTATTAGTAAGGTAGTGTTATGTTTAAATATATTTAAATTATTATATTGGGTTAATTCTCAATTATTTTATTGTTTGTTTAACTAAAGAAAGTATGTCCTAATTTACAATATTTATAATTTAGCYGATAAGAAACTTAACATGTTAAAGTGCATTAAACTATTTTAAGCTTTTTCAGTGCATATAAATCAAGATTATAAATAATGTATAATAAAATACATATTTTATACTAACGTGGACAAGTCGTCGAWGAATTGTTGGAAATATTTAAACAGTCAACTTCATCTGAACCATCATGACAATCATCTTCTAGATCACAACGCCAATGCATTGAAATACATCGGCCATTCTTACAACGAAACTGTCCAGTTGAACAATTTGAATACTCTGAAAATGTTGAATATAATGTTATTTTAGAGTTGCATGCTWGTTGGATTAAATCAAAAATGATTTTTCCACGCTGTCAAGTACCAGCATTATGAATGTAACAAGTCACAAGACTAGTGGAAAATTTCAATTACTTATTTCAAATATATTTTAAATCAACTTTTTTTTATTGGTCTCGAACTCAGGAAATATGGCCATTAGCTATTGTATGGGATAGAACTTCGAACGGTTGGTACAATAGATTGGGAACATGTATATATGTAGCAAGATTTTTGCTACTAAGAGCCCAGGTGGTCACCCATCTGAGAGAGGCAAGCGCAGTGCATGCTCTTAATCACATTGCGTAACTGATTAGAACAGCAACTGTGCCATCCTTAGTGAATTAACTATTTTAGTTTATTTAAAAAAAWATATATAAAAATATAATATTTACTGCAATTTATTTCATCTGAACTATCCTCGCAATCAGGATCAAAATCACAAGTCCAATATGATGGAATGCACTTTCCATTATCACATTGGAATGAATTTGGTCCACATGAAACTTTGGTGCACTTGACCTAAAAATTATTTAATGAATAAATAGCTATAAATATATATATATAATTATATTACAGAATTACTTAATGAAATTTACTACCTATACCCATAGAGATATAGACCTATAACCTAGTTTAAAGGTCTATGCCTATACCTTAGTTAAACAGTGTTTTAAGTGGTATTGTTACTTAWAATCTTCATATTTGGTAAATTTATTTTWACATAATTATTATTATATTAGTATTAGGTAATTAAATAATTTTAGTGATCTACTTGATTATAAACAAAAAAAAAAGTAATGTTGGCAACCCTGACTCCACTCCAGAAGACCTGTCCTCTCATGAGCCACATACGAAATACACACTGTACACAGTTAGTTAGCTMCCGACGATCACAGCGGTGTATYGTCATCCGAGGACGCTTTACCTAATCGAGGCATATGTGCCCTTTGTTATTTGTTTATATCTAGTTTTTGTTAATAAACGTCTTTAAACTTTATTTGTGTGTTAATGTGTAATTGTGTAAGAACCTGACACCAACAGTAAATTATAGAAAAAATATATTTTTAAATAAGTTATAAAGAAGAATCTTACTTCATCTGAATTATCTGCACAATCATTATCCCCATCACATTGCCAATATTTAGGCACACAGTTACCATTTGCACATTGAAAATAATCAACTGAACATGTTTGGCCAGCTATAAAAGAAAATATAAATGTTTATGAATTATTATTATATTATAAAACTTGATAAATAAATAAGCAGTCATYTCACTAGTTGCCAATACCAGAGTGTGTTTTTCATAGATAATCATTATTTTATTTAATAACAGTACTTTTTAATACTAACATATCTTTTGAGTTACCTTTTACCAGTTAAGTATAAAGAGATAATTTTTAGGGGGAGCTAAAATAGATAACAAATACTAAACGGTATAGCACTTAAAGGTGATAATATATTTAAGTKGTTGTAAGGAATTTTGTCAAAATTGTTTTAGGCATATGCTACAGGTGATAGTGATTATTTTGTTTGTAAATAATAAAATATGTTGTTCTACTTAATTAACCACTGTAGTTTTTTGGCAGAAGGGGAAGGCTGTGCACTACTATACTAATTTTCACAAGAAAACATGCCACACAATTATAAAAATAGCTCAGCTCATCCCTAATTAAATTCTCAATAGATGATGCACTATCRTATTGGTACCATTCAACGATGAAAACAGCCCATTATATTTTGTCTTGAGCTCTACGATCAGTCGGTTGTCGCTGATATTTGGCTGCCTGGAGAGGATACGACAGACTATTYAGTAGACATACCTCATTCTAAATGTGCAGAACTGGCATGTTTTCTCGTAAAATAGAGTATATGCCCCCTCTTAAATATATCACTGCCTTCAACAGTAAAAGTCTTGAGAAAGCATGTACAGGCAATTAGTGATAATTGTAATAGACACAAACCAATAAATCAAGTTAAAAACAATTAATAAAATTCAAATTCAAAATTAAAACTATTACAAAAGTTAATTTACCTGATGGACAAGTCCCATTTGCAAATGGTTCCTTAAGACCAGGACAAAGACAACTATTATCAGATTTACTCATATTATCTGGACATTGACAAGAAAACTTTTGATTTGGTAAACCAAAACAAAAATGAGAACATTTGCTATTATCTGAACATTCATTAGTATCAATTTGTGACATATGAGAATATACCTAAACATATTAGTAAGTATTAGTAAATAAAAAATAATAATATACCATATAGTTAATAAATATTATATATATATATATATCCTACTACACAATCATACTTTTAAATCCATTAATCCAGGTAAATGTGAAGAAATTGTTTGTATTTTAACACCATGATCTTTATCCGACATAAATATAGAATTTTGTTTCCAATCATCCCAATAGATCCAGTCTTTAAGAATAGCTACAGCAAATGGATGAGAAACTTTTTCCTAAAATTAAAAATATGTCATTGTATTCAAGTTATAATAAATAACTAAATTGAAATACTTACATCATTTTTAATAACTTTTTTAATGTTATTTCCATGTAAATCACAAGAAGCAATATAATCATGACGTGCATCAACCCAATATAATCGTTCAGCTATATAGTCTACAGCTAGTCCGTTAGGCCACTCAATAGAATCATTACTAATTAATGTCTTTACATCAGATCCATCTAAATTAGCTCTTGCTACTTTGGCTTCACCAACAGCCCAATCGGTCCAAAACAAATAACTGAAAACMAATTTTATATAACATGTGTTTACAAGTAAATAATAATCTACATACCCAAGTCTAGGGTGAACTGCTAACCCTCTTGGTTTCTTTAAATGATTAGGACCTAATATAGTCTTGCGCATGTGTCCAGGAATTTTAGTATTAGTGCGTATAACCTCTATTTTAGCYAATGCACCATCAACRAAATAAAGATGTTTAGATATCCAATCATATGCCATTCCTTCGACACTSCTAAGACCAGAATTCACCAAAATTTCAGGACCTTGTTTGCCATCAGATAAACATTGTCGCTGAAAAATAAATATAATTTAAATATGAGTAATAAAAATAATTAAGTAATAACATAAATATTAAATTATTTATTATACCCCAATAGTGTCAGTAACAATATCAGCCCAAAATACACAGTTATTTTTCACATCAAACTCAACAGCAATAACATTTTCAAGTTTACGCACAGGTAATACCTCATATGGTAAATTACCACTCAACCTAAGAATACGCTCTTTTTGAGCAACTAAAATAAATTCTGACTTTTCCCTATAAATAAAAAAAAATAGTACTTTAAAATTAATTATTTTAAAWATGTATACAATCAGACATACTCAAATGGACATGGAACTTCTTGAGGTATGAATTCTAGTGAACGTCCATTTTTACACATATCTCCAGGTATTAAACGATAACCTTTTGTACGGTTATACATTAAACCAGGTTTACAAAATGAAGGAATTAGATAAGGATCAAAGCCACTAGTTTTATTCCTAATACATTGTTTGGAATTTGAAAACCATGTAAATCCATGATCACTAAAAATAATGTAAATATTTAATTTACAATGGTATTTATAATTCATATTTTGTACAACAATAGATTTATAAAGTTTAAGAAATAAAATATTCTCTTCACTAAAAAAAAAAAAATAATTAAGTTTACCATGTATAATCTTCAATATCACAATCACATGTAATGGTCTGAATTGGTCGATCATAATTCATGCCATTGTAACAATTTGCTTTTGGTGCTCTTCTYTGAAATATTTGTGTCTGACCAAGAACACAAGATGTTTTTAAATGATCTTTTGAAGTGGTAGGAGACCAAAATTTATAATCTTTTTTGGTACAGTTATAAGCTGTAAAAATTAATTTCGATTTAATAAACAGATGGTCTGACGAAAACTCTTAGGTATTTATTTTACTGTTCTATAATTTTACAATAGTAGATTAATTGTAATAWATATTTATTAAAATCATAACTACTAAATGTATCTCCTATTACTTTTARCTTGAAAATACTAGAAAAATACTTACAAAACGCATTCTTTAGATCAATTTTAACAATTAACCATTCATGTTTTTCCATAACTGAGCCAAACATAGTAAAAACAGTAGTATTTTCCCCTGGTTCAGTCATTAGCTCATACACTTTTATTTTACTATTGGTAAAATTTTTCTCAAGCCATGTTTCTCCTTCATCAGTTGAATAAAGAATTTGACTGGTTTCTTCTTTTTCACCTTTGTAGTACCGTACAGCAATCAATATGCCTCCATGATCACCAATGTTATAAAAATGCATTTCTTTTAAAACTTGWCGCCATGTGAGTCCAGCATCYCTACTGACAAAAACACCAGGATTGCCTTTTAGTGATTTACCAACTACTCCAGTAGCCATAATAATTCCTGGAGCAGACTTTGATGATAAAATAAATGTATGAGTTCTAGTAACAGGATACACATGAGCAAACATTTGAGTAAGATGTAAAGAACAATTATCCGCCTAAAAAAAAAAAAAAAATGTTATTACAAAATATTATGAAACATTTTATTATTTTTTTTAAATATTATATAACCTTATCACAATGAGAGAAAGATCGTGTAACATTTAGCAATCTCCAATCAAAACCCCAATCAAAACTAATAAGAGTCACAATATGTTCAGGGCCTATGTCCACACTTCCTGACGGCATTGAAGAGGAAATCTGCGAAACAATATAAATCCCTTGAAGACCTTTAACTTTGTGTATATCTGCAAATGRTTCAGCCCATAAATCACTGAAACACAACATAATTAGTTTTTTCTCAAAGAAATAATATTTTAAGTATTAAGTATTAAAATAAATTATCAAAAAAATATACCTAGCAGATGCTGTTTTCGTTTTCCTAACAGACTGTACAGTAAATTTATGTTTAACAGTTCTTTTTATGTGTGGAAAGTTTTAATTTTAAAATGAATTCACCTATTATTTATGATGCCAGCATGGARTTACAGGGGAGAAGTCATAGTATCCCAATATTTTAATTACTATTAATTGTATTATCACTAGTAAAAAAATAATAGTATGTGCTGTAGTATTAGACTTTGGCCTTTGCCTTCTCTTCTGACCAGCTTATATTTCTGCCCTTGCTCATTTTCAGAAAAATGTTTTCATTTTTTTAAATCATTTTATTAAAATAATTACAATCTATACACATAAAGTACAATAAGTAATTTTGTTTGAGTATTATAACAAAAATAACAAGTTTCGGAAAGCACTCAGTAATGTCACCAAAATCTATTTTAAAGTAATCCAGCAAATTGGTTATCGAATAACAAACAATTATGACTWTATTGTAGAATGTTATGTTAGACGTTCATACAAATTTTCTTAAAAATTTTGAACAGAATACATTTAAATTTTTCTTTATTTCAGTTTTAATGCCATAAAATCCTAGCCTTGATTATTAAGCACTAGGGGCAGTCTTATGGCCTTAAAGAAAATAGAAAATAGAATGATTTTGATTCTTCCAAAAGTTTGAACATAATTGAATCACATTAAGATGACTTTGAAGCCATTGAGACACTATCAAAAGGGTCATTATTTTAAGCCAAAAATATTKTATTGTCTGCATAAGTACCCAGTAATATATTTGGAGAAATTAAAGAGTTATRGGAAAATATAAACTATAGAGTTTATAGAGGAAGAGAACTATGCTGCTACCTCCAAGGACTTCAGCTACAATTGGGAAATTTACAGAGTAGTTGTTGTTGACACAAACCAAGAATGTGCAATTTTCAAAATATGATTTCATTAAAAGGTAATAAGGGGCAGGATGGAATATTTTGAGTTAAAAAAGAAGCCCATTGAGCCACACCTTATCAAAGGACTCGGCCACATCAAGAATTACTACTGTGCATTAATGTTTAGATTCCATGCTGGCAAAGATTAAGTTGACAATGCGATGTAGTTGGTGTATGGTGAGTGCTTAGACCTTAATCTAAATTGATGATTTGGAATGAAGTTGGATTTGTCTAAGATTTTGAGTAGCCTTTTAAGGGATATTCTAGTAAACGTGGAGAGGAGAGAGATTGATCTATAAAACAACAGAATATTGTGAGGTWTTTTAGTTGGACAGTATGTTTTGGACAATTAAATTGCTTATTAGATCATGACCCGGGGATTTTTTTATTGGGAGTTTTTGAATTGTGGATAGGATTTCAACTAAATTTTCAAACCTAAAAATAAGAACATTATTTGTTATAAATGCACAGTTTTTTTAAAAATATTTTAATTCCAAAATRACATATATGAGCATTTATAAAATGTGATGTCTTACATACTTACTCATATCTCATTTGAATACTAAAATATTGAATAAACACAGATATTTAAAACAAATAACGTTCGTAAATCTAATTTTGATATTGKTTAAGTCTGTATAATACAATATTGAAACTGCTGAACACAGGTGTCTTTATTGTTTGTAAGACGAAGACAAGGGAAATTAATGCAGAATACTGTTAATTTTAAATTGTACTTACTAATAGAGAATAACAATAAAATCAAATAACTATTAATAATTATACAGTAGATATTAATATTATTTAGTAGGAATAAAWATGTATTTCAAAATTAATTTAATAATATTAAGGAGCAAAGCCAAACATTTTATGTTTTTAAAAAACAGTATAATAATGTGATATTAACAAGATAAGAAATTCATATATCCTGAATGGGTACCAATAAGAAAAAAAAATTATCAGCAATTAAGATAGATGTAAAATAAAAGGYAGAAACTGGCAGAAGGCAAAGAAAAGAGTATTCAGAAAAATAATTAGGACAAAATAACAAAAAGGGATTTTTAAAACTTATAATTTAAAATGTTAATTCCTTAAAGATTTGTATTTAGAACTTAAAAACAATAATATTATTCTAATTCCCCTTGATCACTTATCACTTCAATATATATAAAACTAAAATAAGTACCTAATTAAAGATTCTGTCCATGTAATGTTAGGGAAATATGCAACTACTCTTTCAAGTGACAAACTGAATGATACTGCCTCTTCATTAGAAGACTGTATTACATCGGATATATATAAATTTGACAAAGTACGAGTATGTGCAACAGCAACCATTATTCGATTAGCAGTAATATCTGCGATATGGTAATCACGTCTGTCAAGTTCAGTGTCGAACCGAGTTCGAACAAAATTTCCTCCTTTGTAGCTAACCAAAAGATCTAAATTATTCTAAAAAAATAAAAACTTGTATTATTATATTGAACACAATTTAAATTATTTTGGTAATCAATAAAATGTTATACAATACCTTTGAAAGTTGAACAGTCACAAACATATAGTCATCTCTTGCTTTTAATTGTAATACGTTTACAGCTAAAGTAGATAAATTATTTTGACCAGAATTGATATTTTCTGAAACAGCTATGACCGTGGATGTAGTTGCTGATTCTTCGCGTTGTATAACCAATGAATGTCCACTTTTRTACAAATTCCATTTAGTTGGAACCCAGAAATATGATTTAACACGTTCTTCAAGCATAGTCCATGTGATACCGAAATCATGAGTTATCCATAGCTATAAAAATAATGAAACATTGCAATTAAATCTAATATTTAAAA